GCAGTGGTGAAGGCATCAGGCTAGAAACTGGGAGACTGTGAGTTCTAGTCCTACCTTAGGCACAAAGCCAGCTGGGTGACCTTGGGTCAGTCCCTTTCTCTCAGCCCTAGGAAGGAGGCAATGGCAAACCAATTCTGAAAAACCTTGCCAAATAAACTGCAAGGACTCGTCCAGGCAGTCTCCGAGAATTGGACACGATTGAACGGATTAAAAAAAAAATAGTTACATATCACCCAGAAATGAGATTCACTTTCCCAACCAGTGTGGTCATCAAGAGAGAATCACTTACCTAGGTTAGCATAATAGTAAGGGAAATCTCCCAGATATGATGAATACTGTGGCAGTACGAACAACCCCCCAGGGTGCTTATTCCATATTAAACTGTTACGGGATATGTGCTTAAATATTCTGTCTTGAATAATCTGAAAAGCAAGAAGTTAAAACAATGTTTAGGAAAACCATAATGAGAAAAAAGCAGAACCTTTTACCAGAGCTACCAGGAGGCAGATTATTTAGGATTGCTGCGGGATCTTTTCTCCACTAAGATGATTCATGTAGGTTAGGAACTTCACCTGTCTCATTTATTGCTGCAGACATTGTGGCAAAACTAGGCTCCTATCCGATGCTTCAGGTAACATTAAAATAGTTCTGGTTTCCAAAATGCACAGGTCATTGGAGAGACTGATGGATTCATTCTGCAATTTTGCCATCGACATATAACATGAAATAATCAGACAGTGGTAGCTTTAGACAGAATGGGAACTGTTTCTGAACAGCAATGTCTTTAACCTACACTTCTCTGCTCTCCTTCCCAGACATATAAAGAGCACAGTATTATGGTAGTTTCAGAAATACAAATTGCATGGAAAACTTTATAATGACAGTATTCCATCCCTGGCCCAAGAACAATCGGTGACCAGCCATGATTAATGCACTGTTCTAATTTTATGCTATCATGGAAAGAAAATGTAAAGTTTTCACACTGTGATTCAGAATCCAGGACCCTGGGAATTTCAGCTTTCCTTAATTTTATTTTGTTTTAAAGTTAACACTTTCAGCTCTCAAGATATTGTTGGTAAAGTGGGAAATCCTATTTCCTGATATTTATTACAGAGAGGTCGGGGCTTCAATGTTCTCCATAAACCCAGACTTGTCCTCCAAACTAGAAAAGGAATAATGCTGCAAGAATCATTCAAAAGACAAACTGCAGAATGGAATATGCACCCTTGCTTAATTGAAATAAAGTACTATTTTATTTCTATTTCCTTTCCTTAGGTAGAGTTTGATGCTTTCTTCATCCAAAACCACAGTAATCATGGAGCATCTTACAAAGATCCTCAATAAAAGAAACGGCTAAACCCCAAACACAAGAAACATAGTTTGGTTTTGTATTTTGTTAGGATTCAGTCCTGTTTAGTGCTCCTCATTCAAATCATTACAGAATCCAGGTCCTAGTTAGGCATCCATACTTGATTCAGCTTGAGGTACATTTAAAAACACAGAGGACAAAATGGATAATCCCACCTTATCAGATCCTGCCAGTAGGAATGGAACAACTATATAACTGTGTTTCCTACAACGATCTACAGAAATGGTCCAGTATGATAACATAGCACATAACAACAGACTGTGGAGAAAAAATATTTTAGAGAAGGACCACAGCTTTGAGACAGGCCATTTTGGAGTCCTGTTTGGAATTTTGAAGGCACATTTTGGCCACTTTTGAAAAATGGCGGCCACGAGGCCCATGGCTCTCATAAAAATGGCTGTTATTAAGGACACACACAATCACAGGGTTGTGGGATTAGTCTCTGCCATTTGACTCAATGCTTAGTTTTTGTTCTTTTTTTCCTAAACAGTTGAGTACATTTCCAAAACATCATAGGCTGCTGTTAATTATTCTTCAAGCATACCCGTAGGGACTATGTAGTACCCAGAGACATTATTATAAATAAAGAATATAATACAAGCTGGTGCTTTGCTCGGCAGTATGCCGGCTCCCAATTTCAATCGTTTGTAATAGTAAATAATCTAAAAGTAAGAAAAAGAAATCAAGTGGATCACAAAGCCTGGTGTATGTGTGGTCACACTGGGGCCTATGTGCAACATATTGCTTCACCCTATGACAAACGGTGTGCTTCAACTGCAAAATACCCTAAATTCAATCCCTACACTTTCCTATGCAACCCAGAAAGACCCCGTCTGTTACTGGAAAGCGAATACCGGCTAGTGTAGCAAATACTGTATTCAACATATCCACATAAGGAGGGTTAACACAGTTCACTATCTAATGTTTTATTTGTCACTTGTTCAGACCAAGCCACTGCTAGCAGAAATGCCACATACAGCTGGCCTCTGATACTGTAGAGAGAAGATTCCCCCAATAAAATTCAACCACTCATATCTAGGACAACTTCCCTGTTAAACAGAACACCCCTTACATGGTTCCCTATGACTCAGAGCGGTTTAACTTTGAAATAGGCTTCTAAATGCCATCGTTTATATATATTTTCAGTTACAGGTCAGGCTGACAATTCTTACCAATCCTGTTATTTGATGGATCAGGGACTGACTTAAAAGGCTGTACCAAATTTAACAGATGGCTATTTTAGTTATGAAAACAATACTTAACTGTCCAAAAGGCTGGAACAGTGGAGAAGCTTTGTAGGAAAGGATACAGGAAAGGACAAAAATAGAGGCAATTTACAGCTCTTTCACTAACCGTAAAAAATCTACAGGCAAAATAGCGGCACACACATTGCTAAAATGCCATTTGTAATTTGCGCTCTTAATTTTTTTTTTTTCCCCCTTTTAATCACTGCTGAAAGTTTGGTCTAAAAATGACTTGTGTCAAACACATTCTTGTCAATTTGGTGTGCCCCCACTCTTCCCGGGGACACAAAGTCTTCTTTTTGTAAACTTACTAATTAAGTAAACACGTATCCTATATGGATTAAGGAAGGAATTTTCAATCAAGAAACAGGGCTGAATTAGATAATGATTTTTTCCCCCATAAAAGAACTCTAAATTAAAACTTGTTCCAAAGGGTGCATTTCTGCCTCTAATATCAGTTCTCTTCCCCACACCTCCCCAGTCATGAATCCACTTTTAATGGGGATGAGGATATTTCTGTTAAATTAAGGCAATATGGATTGGATATGCAAATTGTCTCAGACTTCTTTCAGAATTAAAACTGGTTTTATACTGATCTTAATTTCATGAAATGAAGCAAACATAAAGCAGGTGGGATTGCATTTCATTTAATCCAGCCCATTTTCCTTTTGTTGGACTATGAATTGGATTAAATCACCATCACATCTCATTCTGTTTTACCTTTGTCCCATCCCATGAGTCTGGTGTAAAAGCAATTCAAATTTTGAGGAAAAGGATACAGAAAAGAGGAACATTCAAATGGCCGATCAAGGTAATTTGAAACTGGAAAAAACCTATTGAAGAAGACTGACCAAGTAGTGAAAGATTATACACTTCATAGGTTGCTTTAAAATTATAAATTTATATGAACAATCTGGTTCTTTGGCAGCCTACTGTATATTACAACTGCATTGGATACCGAAGGACCTGCAGAGAATATGTAGCTCCTTCCTAGCATATATGAAAATAGGTCATATCTATTGCTGAAACAAATATTGGAACATTTCAAATGTAACCCACTTTGCCCTGCAGAACAGCGTATATAGCTGCACACAGACAAGGAGATACAATGGCAACTTCTTACAAGCTTTCTCAGCAGATGGCAACTGTTGGTTGACCTTGTCTGGTCTTGGAAGCTAAGCAGGGTTGGTCTTAGTTAGTTCTTGGATGGGGGACCACCAGAGAATCTGTAGACTAGACTGTTCAGTAAAAGGCAATGGCAAAACCATTTCCTTTACTTTTGGTAAAAACAAAACAAACCTGCATGGATGTACCAAGGTAATCCCCAGGAGCTGAGGTTGACTTTTGACCCTGGAAAATTTGTATCCTTTACATTTTAATCTTGCAAGCTAGTTTCTCAGCTCCCCCAGTTTGTTCTCTCAATATTAAGCATGACTTAGAATTATATCTGCAGTGATGCCCACCATATTATGCTTATAGGCCTGTTATAAAAATAGATCTAGTGTATTCAATGGTCAAGACTAACCTAAGCCCGTTGCTTTTATTGGATCTGTTCTAACCTGAGTGAAATCATAGTTTGAAGAATATTTTTCAGCACTTTGTCAACATCTCATTTGCCTGTAAACCATGACTGTAAAGAACTGAGTCACTTTGTTAGGATCAAATATCAAACTGATACAGGAATCTTCTATTCTCCTTTCTGCACACAAGGACTTAGAGGAGGATAGAGTCTGTGCTTATGTATGCAAGGCTGAATCACGGCTTAACATTACCTTGAAGAGACTGAGACAGCGCAAAAAAAAAAAAGTGTGCAAGTCAAGGTCTGTAAAATCAAGCTAAGGCTCAACAGAAAGGCACTTAAAAACGTGGCCAACTCATTTCAATTCTCAGTTAAGTTTCTGACATTTGCCTCCTTAATCTGAAATAGCTACTGCCTTAAGCCCAACATTTTCTCCACCTTTCTCCAGACATCAGTCAAAGACCTTGAAAACATTTTGGAATAGAAAGCCTGCCTGAATAGAGGAAAAGTGTTATAGTATCACTTCTTCAAAACATGATTTTTCAAGAAAGGGTCCTTAAAGAACCCATTTACCAGCAATGACAAGCAAGCTGATTTATCAGCCATCAAAATCCCAAGAAGCCTCTAGTCTAGGAGAGGCCACATTTCCTAGCAAGTTAGATGGTTGCCAATTTGTCACACTGTCATTTCTTCTCACACCAATCCCAGAGACAATGACCATAGTTCCGCAGGGGAAGAAAAGTTATAAAGAAGCTGAAGGTCTCTCTTTCATCAGATTCTTTGTAGAGGCACTTGCCTTGCTAAGTACCTGCAAAAGTCAAGGCCAGACACAATCCAAATGACAGAAAAGCTGGGCCTCAGATCCAGCTATTATCTGAGAATTGTTACTCACCTCTAGTGTGGTCAATACAATCTTCTCAACTGAAGAAAAATAAGCCTCCCACAAGAACTGTGTCTGCTGTCTAAGTGCTAGGATTTTATCCTGATGGATAGACCTGATTGTAGAAGGGATCTGTAATACAACATTGAAACAAATAAGACAGAATCGAAAACACTGCAACCCAGGAACATTAAGGCACGACTGGGGGCCTTTCCAGATGATCCGTTTATAGCACAATCCGTTTAGATTTTATAGATCAGTGTACAGTGAATTTGGCTCTCATCTACGGCATGCAATCCACACTGTCAGGAAGTACCAGCTGTGATAGCAGTAATTGGAAATTGAATTATATGGGTTGTTAATGCTATGTCTCTGTCCCACTTCTGACTGGAGAGCCCGCATTTCTTATATTTCTCCAAAATCAGAGCCTCTTCCAAAACCAGATCATTTACAACTTCCCATTTTCACAAGCCCAATTTGGATGACAAGGTAAAAAACTTTGACATGGCAGTGAACATCACCATTCACTGGGTAGGACCTTGCCTTCAACGTGGATGTCTATAATTTTTCAGAACGTAAAAGATTTTTCAGTCTTTTTTCCAAGCTGTTCTCTCAAAAATGGAAATGTTTGGAACCAGTGTATGCACCAACAATCCAGGAGTCATTGTGCAGGATCAATTTTTTAAAAGCCATTTTCAAATGATAATGTTCAATGTGACTGAAGGGGAAATGGATAATAGTGTTATTAGCTGGGCAGAATTTGAATTAAATTAAAAGTTATGGGAAGTGGAATCAATTTAGCAGCTGTCCTGGCTCCACTGACTATTTTTGGGAGTGTGGCCCTTGGAACACAACCACAAAGTGATACCCTCAGCCTAAAGGGAAAAAAAAGCTTCTGTATTCCAAGTTCACCATGACAATCTTCGGACTAGATTATATAGGGCCAAAACTGATCATGATGCATCTATGGGCTATGAATTAGTTCTCAGTAAGCTGTATAGTGCTAGTCAATCTAGAACCACAAAATAACTTATACCGATGAATTATCCATTCTGAGTTCTCATTTTTCTATCTCAACTTCAATTTTTAACCATTTCCACACCAGTTTATGACTAAACCATTTCTCCTGTAAAACTTTATAAAGATTTTCAGGTACATTGCTCATATGTATATTTTGGAGCACACCTGTCCCTTGCATAGCTTTTCTTTACATGTTTTTCTAATGGAGAACTGCTCCATAAGATTCTGATAACTGTTCTGATTTATCTATTGATGCAGGAAATGCAAATTAGGCAGCTCTCTAGTAAATATAAACCCAACTAATTTGTCCCACATTCCTATTTATGTCCTAAAAGTTCCCAAGTGGATGTTCTTGCTCCGTAAACTGAAGACCCACTGGTGGCCCAGAGGGACTTCACATCCATAGGAAGAAGAAAAAGGAATAGACTACCGGTAGCCCCCTTCTAGTGACTGCCTTGGAGAGCAACCGTTCGCAGCTACAACAGTGATGAAAAAGTAACTTTGTGACCAATGCCCACATTTACGACCTTTGCAGGTCTGTAAAGCAAAGAAAAGTTGAAGTAAGATTACATGCACAGTTGCGGTTTCACTTATGAACTGCATGACCTTTAGGCATCTTGCATAGCAGACAGGAGGAAAAACTGATTCCAGAAAGCTTTGACTTGTAGATCTTCTTCTATGTATGTGCATATACTTTCTATCTAAAGTAGGAAAAATCAATCTTTCTTGATATTCCATTTATTGAGGAGGGTGCTATTTCAGCACAGCACCTATTTTCTCATTAGTCTGCTGTGTTCTTCCTAAGCCTTTCAAATGATTCATTTTTCCTGGGCTAATTATGCATAAAGCATCTGCCTATGTTTGCTTTTGATTTGTGCCATTTTGCATTTTCCGCTTACACATTAGATTATACCCAACAAAGGCCTTTTCGCTCATACATATTCTCTCACGTTTTTGCCCCCCAAAACCATTCCAATAAAATACTCTTAATTAGAATACATCTATTCTTTGCACAGCATCATGATTTTATAGACAATGGGGGCAGTGAGGAAACATCTTAGGGGCAACAATTTTCTCATGCCAAAAGGAATTTTTTTTATTTTGCAAGAGGTTCAATGAGATGAAACCTGTATGGTATGTGGGAATGACCTGGGGGACAGGAGATAAAAGATATCTCAGCCCACAGAAGGAGGGAGGGTGTGAGGAATGTTTCAGAAGGGACCCTCCCGAGTTTTCCGGAGAGTGAAAGGAAAGGAGGAGAGAAATACTTTCAGTCTTACATGACTGTGTTAACGAAACTTTACAATAAAGATAGAGCTAGTACTTCTGGTTGTGCTTCTTGTCTGGACTACCTCGCAGGGCTAACAAAACCCTTCCACTCAACATCTAGTTTTGCTCAGAAACTACTCATCTGTAAACCTCAAATTGCTGGGCGGTATCCTATGTTGGCCAGTGCTCCTTTCAGCAAGCCATGGGGGAATTCCCAGACTAGGATGCAATTGACACACTACCTTCATTCATTGGTCCAGCAAGGGCATGGGAAGAAGCCAAGATGTCATAAGGAAGGTGTTCTCAGCTATGGTAAGCCACCCTGTTTTGCACTTCCAGAGGGACCACTGCAAATCTTTGTTCAAGTGCTTCCTCTGAATCAGGAGCCAAACTGGCTTAGCTCTCCTAAGATGGATGGAAGTACCATGATCTGTCATGCAAAGGTGGCACTAATGTTAAATCAGCTCATCTCTTGCACATGGAAGAGGGCCAATATGCAATCCTTTTAACGATCTGTAAATCTGTTATTGAAACAAGGGTCACAAGAAAACTAAAAATGGGGATATGAGACCCATTAATAAGATGCAAGAAGGCAGCAATTAGACATGTCAACACTGAAGTATTCATATCTTCATTTATTTGTGAGATGAAGATCTTCCTGGGCCAAGCCAACACTGAACCACTGATGTGGGCTATGGCCTGAAAGTGCCTCATAAGGAATATAGACTTCTAACTGTAAAGAGCAAGACATATCCACCATCATTAAATGGGACATTGACTCATTCAATGGGTGAGGCTTGAAGGAATCATAGTTTAGAGCCAGTGGTTTTTGTTATACTTCATGGTAAACAATGACTTTAGTGAAAAAAATGTAGGTTTTCACAGCTATTTATTGGTGAAGTCTGGGTAATGTTGCATGAGACAATGAATATGGCTTTAAATATGGGTTTAGAGGTTCATGAACGAACTTAACTGCTTCCCTTCTCTTCTCTTCCTCTTGTTTGACCCAGAAGATGATTTCAGAAGCCTCTGCTTTAACTTTACACTAAGCTGCTGAAACTACAATTAATCTTAATTATGGCTAACCATACCAGCTTTGTAAATCAGTCTCAAGTTGGCTTCTTTTTGGTTTTATCTCTTTATATAACTTCTTATAGCTTTAGTTTCCTAAACTAAACAGTATACAGTTTCCTAAAGTAGAGCAAGGGCACCATTTCCTGGATGGAAAATATCCTTAAAATGATAACGGTTCTTATAGTGTCTGCTTCTTGATCTCAGCTAACATTAACCATAGGGGAAGCTTGCAAACTCTTCATTGTAGTTCCGTTGCAAAGGAAAGGCAAAAATCTCAACCCATTTCAACATGGCTTTAAAGGAGGCTACTGGGTTGAGACCGCCTTGGTTGTTCCCATGATGGGCTTGTCTAGGGGCTTTCAGAGACATTTTTTTCCTAACTTTCAACAGCTTTTGATGCTATCAATCATGGTATCCCTATGGATTATTTGAGGGATCTGGGACTAGAAGGGAGATTTCAGATAGTCTAGCTTTCTTGAAACAGGAGCAGTTGAGTGGATGGAGTCCTTTAGGGCTCCATTCTGTCTTCATCATTTTTAAGTATCTATGCAGAACCATCAGGAGAGAACATCAGGAGATTTAGAGCTATCCATATTCTGGTGGAACCCAAATGTATTTTTCTGTAATATGCCTGCACTTAACAATTACCTGTATGACCGATATTAAATTGAAATTGAATCCAGACATGATCGAGGTACTCATTACAAGGGATCACAGTTCTAGAGAAGTGGTGAATCTCCTGGTTCTAAATGGAGTTATATTCTCCTCAAAAGAACAGATTGGGGAGTACTTCTGGATGACCCTCTCTTCCTGGTTTCCTAAACTAGAGCAAGGGCACCGTTTCCTGGATGGAAAGTATCCTTAAAATGATAAAGGTGGGGCAAACTCCAGGTCCATCAAGTGTAAGACACTCTACGTGGGCTGGTTCTGTGTCTAGTCCAGAAATTTCAGCTGGTACAGAACTCAACAGTTGGTTGGATTCTAAAAGAACTGAAAGAGACCCCATTATACCCTGGGCAAAATGCACTGTACTGCCTGCCAATTTGTTTCTGGGTGAAATGGAAAATCATGGTCATTATTGTTAAAACTTTATATGGCTTTGATCCAGACCACTTGAGAACACCTTTTCCATATAACCTGAGATGATGAATGGAGACTCAAGGTCTAGCCTGAGTTCCTTAGAATGCATTCTCCACTACATTGGAAGCCTAACCTCTTTCTTTGCTTTCTAAAAGGCTCCTAAATATCCAAAACAGTTTTTTGTACAATTAATTTTAACTGTTTCACATTGAAGCTTTTTAATACTCTGGTTTTCATTTTGGCTTTGCATTTTCTTCTAAAAGACTGAGAGACCTTTACTGAAGTATGTTTAGCTTAATAAATGTGATAATTAATTAATTAAATGGTGCGTGCTCAATAGGAGGCTAAATGTATTCACATCCTAATACAGCCAGGGAGCCAAAGTGATTAATCTCTTGATCCAGGACTGGAAAGACTTAGGTTCAAATCCCGAATTTAAACCTGAAGCTCACTATGTGGTCTTTGATCAAACACTGTTATTTTACAGGAGTGAGCACTGAGAGACATTTGCTAGGTAAGGAAGAAAGGCAGGGAATATGGAAATAAAATTCTTCTTTATTATTCAGAAAAGATATTCCCTTTTTATTGATAAGATTAAAATAGATTAGCTATCTTTCCAAGAGACTACATCCTATGACATATAAAGTATCTCATACTAAATCTCAACTGTGCAATACTACACATTTGGTCCTAACATCTGTTCAATGGGAGCCACTCATTACTTAGTCCATGCAGGACTGCGTCTTATTTTTAAAAATCAATTCATTTAACTCTAATGCGTACTGCAAAAAAAATCTTGTGAATTTATAAATTTGCATCAATGTATGAATTTTCTGATAGATTTTGGCAACACGTAAGAGTTTTAGGTGATCATTTCTTATATGTCCATTGGAGTTGGGTGGCTAATAAATTCAAATAAATAAATAAATCAAAATATGGCCAGGTATATTTGCATTATATTTAATTGACTGCATTTCATTATTTTTCTCCAAACCCTTCGGGACAAATCTTTTTATCTATACCTGTATATGAAAACAACAATATCATCACATCCATGAGTTAAAGTGAGCTGTTGATATCTTCAAAGGTGGGCAGTGAAGAGGGGAAAGGCAAGCTTAGAATATTTTCTAAAGCATATTTTTACATGTTGGCTCACTTACAACACAAACTAGGGCTCTTGTTTTTAATTTCATTTGGCTATTTACTATTAATCTTCTTGGCTTACAAGATGGGTGTGAGAACTGATGAACTGATGCTGATCTGCCACAAACACAAGAGAATTATTAGAAAGGGATGATATTTTAATAGCAGGTCACTGATACAATAACAAAGAAGGGAAAATGTGGTGCAAAAATGAGAACACAGAAAGTGGCTTAAGTTTGTCTGGAGCTGGAACAGCATGACACTATGGAGAATATGTAAATAAAAACATCCGAGCTCATCTAAAATGGGAAATGAAAAACTGTAATGCAACAAAAACATTTCCCAGAGCAGACATTTGGGCTTCATGCCAGCTCTTTAAAAACCACTGTTAATAATAGTATAGTAGCTGCTGTAGTAAGGAAGCAGCTGTGAAGATAATCAATTCTGCATTACAGGAAACAACGAAGATCAGAATATTAATGTACTCATGGGGAGGGGGACATTTACAGATATTTGGAATTCTGCACAGCCTTCTCTCTTACCTTTGGCAACTAAATATGCCAGGCATGGTGTAGATTTTTACATTTTGCCAGATTTAAATATTTTGATCACATGCACGGCAGTGTAGCACGTGCCTTGCATGAAAAAGAACCCAGGCTTATTCCTTGAAGTCTCCCATTAAAAGGGTCTCACAAGCAGGGCTGGGAAAAGACATCCCCTCTCCTCCCCATATCTGACAAATTGGAGAGTAGCTTTGAATCCAGAAGCACTCCTTCAGAATATCAGTGGGCTTAAGCCAGAAATGACTCTCCATGGATGGAAAAGTTTTCCCAGTGGTAGAAGTAATAAGGACCCAATAGCCAGCCTCTATTAGTAGAAAGGGGGGAAAGTAGTAATTTGGGCTGATTCTTCCCTTTCTGTTAAAGTGTCTAGTACCATCTAATAAGAACTTTTCAGTTCTTCAGAGTAGATTTTCAGGGGCCCAGGAAAAAACAATAGCCCAGAATAATCCAGGAACTTGGGTTCTTTCACAAGATCCAACCCAGTGCCTTTTTAAACACCAGAATGGGAGAAACATCACAGCCTCTGTTTCTTCATCCCAAGAAACTATAACAGAAGTTGACTTAAACAAGGGAGTCACACTCCCTCTTTATTGCATGCAATGGTCACATTCTGCTCTTTATGGGGAAGAGCTAGATAAATTGCATTTGCCTTTTCCAACCTGGTGCCCTCCAGATGTAATACACTACAACTCTTGTTAAAACAGGAAATGATTTTCCTACCCAAGATCACATCTGGAAGGTATTTGGTTGGGGAAGACCAAGTTAAGAGGAAGAGAAAAGAAATTGGAAGAATCTCATATACGATGACTGAGGATTTTGATTTTTGTACATCCCCACATGTAACAACCTGATCTGCACCTCCTAGACTAATATATGGATCAGAACTTAGCTATCCATCTAATGTTGCACTTTTCAAATTTCAGTGGCTCCAGGCAGTTTAAAGCTTCTGTAACATTATAAGGGCTCATAAAATACTGTAGAGATTTAAATATTAAAACATGAAGTTAAATATGCATCTTGAGTGGTTTTTAATATTTACAAGCTAAATTCAGAAAGTGCTCAGAATTTTAGATAAACATACGTGACAGTAATATGTAGGTTTGCCCAATCCTGATTTAGGATGAGAAGTATCAGGACCATAAATATTTTGACATTGCAAATCACTTTCTGTGACAAGAGCTTTCAACTCTGGAGCTCTTGTGCACACCTATAAAAAAAAATCAGATGCTCCTACATTTTTAACCAAGACATTTGGAGGCCTGAATGACCTTCATGTCAGAAAGTGAGTAATGTTTTATTAAATGAATTAATATTCACAATGACACAGAGAAATCCTGGCCGATAAAAATCTCTTTTATAGCCATGACCTTTTGGGTATATCTTTCCTGGAAGCAGAGAAGATGGCTGCTGTTCTCAGCTGCACGGATGAAGGCCACTGCTTTCCACTCACCCACCCCTTACCTGTAATAACAATCTCTCATCTCCTATGACGGCAGCTTGATTCCAATCAATCACCTCGGAGAATGGGAGTTCCCATCCATTGCTGAGCATCACAGGAATACAGGCAGCCTGCATAGAAAATCATTATAATTGGGAGTGGGGCAGACACTTTCATCAGGATGGCTTTTTAGCGAAAAATTAACAAACTGTACTTTTGCAGAAACAGAACTTTGTAGAAATAATCTTTCACCAGCAAGAAACCTTTCATCTCATTCTTACCTATGCAAGTAACAACAACAAAAAAAAATTAACAGGTGTGATGGGAGCCATTTAGGTAAGCGAAACTTTTTTTCAAAGTATTGACTGCTTGGGATTGTCTGCACATAAATAAGCACAGAGAAGAAAGAAGAGAACTGGCTAATTCTACTTCCTTGCTACATGAACTGGCTAATTCTGCTTCTCATATCTATATATTTCAGTATCTGTTGTGTAAAATCCTGGTGGATCACTGCATTGCCAAGCACAGAAGTCATAACAGCAAGGTAATTCTCCCAATTATGTCTTGGATGGAGTAGGTGCATTGCTTTATTTTAAAATTTTATTTTGACTCACTTTGACCCTGCCCCCACTCCCTCCTGCAGCTTCCTTTGCCTAAGAAAGTCTAACAAACAGCAGTTATATTTTAAGACTTATTTAGCACGCAATGTGAAAATCCAGGCTGAATTTAGAAGCAATTTTGCTTCAGCCACATTTCAACAATAAGCCATGTTATTTATTTCCATCTAACTTATTGGTCACTGTTCTAAAATAGAGATAAGCAACCTATGACTCCATATAAACCTCAAGGACCCCATTGACCTGGACTGCTAAAAACTGATAAGTTTTCCCATTCTACTTCAGTGGAAGTGGAAAAATTATAATGTAAGTCTTCAGATGGGCAGATCTCAGTTAAAAAAATAAAACAAAACCACCAAATCTCTTACCGCAACCTCAAATCTGCTGAATATGTGATAGGTCAACTTTGTTTTCTTGCCCTCAGCCAGCCAACATAGGCTAAGCGAGGTATATTCTCAGCAAAAAAAGTTCACCCTCTTTGCTCTGAAGTAAGATTTCTGACTATTTGTCCAATGGTTTGGGACAATCCACCCTTGAGGAAGTATAATAATGCTACATAAGGCCTCTCGATGCTGAGAAACTCCTGCTAAACCCCCCCCCCCCCCCGAAGAAGAATGAATGCAGAATCATGGACTATTACGGAAATAAAATATCTGCTCTCTCTTCCTTTCCCTGCCGCAATATTACCCAGGACAGAATTCTAGTTGAGAAAAAAGCTTAAATGGAGCTCAAATTTCTACTGCTCTTACCTGCAGGGCCTCCAAGAACCTGAAGGATCCAAGCCTCCGGCCACGGGGGACCAGACAGAAAGTGGCATTGTGCAGCATTTCACGATAATCATATCTAAGACGAGCGAGGGGAGAGAGAATAAAATAATAAATTAACAATGAATCCCAAGATAATTGTGCATGAAAATATAAACATCTGGCACTGCACATCTGGTTAGAATAATCCCTGGACAATTTCATATTGGTAAAGTTGATGTAACATTAAGAGGCAAAGAGAGTAAGGTCAGATGAAAAGGCATAAATGAGATCATCTTTGCCAGTGTGTTCAAGCAGAGCATGTGGTAGGGGTCCATGGCTAAGCAGGGGCCCTTACAGCTGATTCCTCTTTAAACAACTAAGGAAGGGGAGAAAGCTCATCCATGACTTATGGGGATAAAAAGGCTGATTCAGAATTTTTGGTTCAAAACTTATATTGGGATGATGGTGGTGGTGATGACGATGACTCCCCCGCCCTATGCTTCAAGGTGGAGAGCCAGTCGTTCTTCTGGGATCCTTTCGTTTGGATTCCTGAACTAAGGAGGGGCTTGGATTTGTAGATCTGGACGGCCTAGTCCTGTGATCCTATGAACATCACACACCAACGTTTCAGATACAGAACAAGTGTGTTTCCCTGAATACGCTGAAGCATGCTGTGGGCAAAGGGTCACTGTGTTTGTCTGCCATTGCTAACATTCTTCCTGGGGAGTTCTTTGTCAGCATTTGAGAAAACCCTTGAGAACACAACATCCAACTCACTGGCACACCAAATCAGGATCAGGATAATTTTCTTTCAAGACTTGCTTTTTTATTGGGAAGAAGATCACCAACTTCAGTCCTGGATTACACAATTTTCTACGTGTCTATACAGCTGAGTCCTCTTTGGTTTTGGATCCGCAGTTTGGTAAGCTTGCCCATTCTAGTTTTTAAACTATGAATGATGGTTTAACTTGTCATATGAACCCAGCCAGTTGTGATTAATTCAATAAATCATTCTCAAACAAAGTCTTGATATGATCTGTGAACCTGGCCTGTGTATGAGAGAGATAAATCATTTTGCATTTTCTAGGAATAGCACTGGTGTTGGAAAGATTGTGGTTTGGACCCAGCCTTGGTCATGGTTAGAGCAGCCCATCAAAATCAATGGACAAATTCAGTCCACTGATTTTGATTGCATACTCTACCCTGCACCCAACTTTGCATATACTTTGTCTTTATAAGAATTTTACTTTCAAAGTGTCAAATATCTTTTAGACAGAATAGGATAAATATTACAATATATTCTGATATATAATGTATTGATGTAAACTCAGCTTTAGTAGCAGGAGCTTGTCAAATTTGGCTGAACTTGTAAAACTAAAAAAGGTCTGATTTGGTTAATAATTGGATAGGATATCACCAGGAAATTCCAGGGTATAGGCTAGACTGAGAAGAGCAAAAACCTCTGTGTTGTTCACAAGGAAAGTAAACGGACACATTCATATACTCACCAAAACAAAGCTCAACAGAAGGGAATTTTTACATTATATTTATGTTATATATGGATATCCATATATGTTATACATGAATATCAGGCAAAGAGTTTCTTTGAGCAAGATAACAAATAGTTTAGGAATAAATATCTACCTACCTACCTACCTACCTACCTACCTACCAGAACAACCCATTTTATTTTCAAAGATTTGGATAGAGGAAAATGGATCAAAAATATCTTAGACTTATTTTCTTCCAGACATGTAACCTGTGATTAATGAATTAATTTAATGCACTCCGTAACTGTTCTATGCTTTCAATTGAGATTATATATTGATACAGAAGCTCCACAATCAATGCATCAACTTCTTGTCAAGAGAGAAGGAAATCTAATATCCAGCGAAACCCACCAAGAATAATCAGTGAGCAATAAAAATCTTCTTAATCAACCAGGAAAGGATAAAGAATGGATAGAATGAATCATGTTGTGCAGCTATGGGTCAGCAAGGATGAATCTAATGAGGAGGGGGGACAATTCTGAATGTTTGTGGACCAGATTAGATTGATTAGATTGGAGAAAAAGAAAAATTGGCAACTCAACGTAAAAGAACAATGACCCCTGTTCCTCAAAGTTAAAGCATTCAGTGACACCCTGTTTTTTTTTTTCTTTTAAATTCCACCAAGCATTTCAGAAGCTTTTACCAAAAGCACCACATCAAATCCCTACAAGTTTCAAGCCAGATTGTACCTAATGGCACTTTTGGCAAACCTGCAAATCAGAATTCCTCAACCTCAGCAACTTTAAGCTGTGTGGACTTCAACTCCCAGAATTCTGGGAGTTGA